AGCACCTCTGCTGAAAGGACTACTTAAGGCTACGACTGCTTAAGGCACTGGAGTCAGGGTTTCCAAATTCATTCTGCTCGAATAACACAGAATACAGGTCTGTGCTAGCTCAGGCACCCATTACACAGCTTTCACTTCAATTAACACTCCCACTAGACACAATGCCGTAAGAAACCATTTGTCTTCTACATGATGGCACAGTCAGTCTGATCCAGTAGCTCTTGGCACTCCAAGCATATATAGGTCTTTTATTTCAAAATACTTCTAGTTCATCAGAGGCTCCTTTGGAAATCCTACCAACAAATTCTAGTCAAATAGCATTAACCTCCTGCAGTCCTCATGGCAAAACAAACGCCACCCTAAGGGGGTACTGCGGGAGCAGCTGCCAGTGTTAATAGCACGTAGGGTCACGGGCAAAATGACAGCCCAGAGTCTGTAGAGATGACCTTTTTTTCCAGCCCTTCCTCAGTGGAAAAATGGAAAGGAAACACAGAGCCCAGAGTCATGGAGCTCTGCTACCTCTGTAAAGGAATACTTTGTAAAAAAGCACTAGTTTACCAAACACTCACTAAAATAACTTTCTGTCCTGCAGTTTCCCATGTAAAACTAAACCATGCAACATTTCAAAGCAATACATTTTCAGTAGACTATCAAAATAATCTTATGTTATTTTTTCCTTATTTTTCTAGCCTTGTTTCCTTCACTCTCAGCACTTTGTAAGGACATCTTCATGTGTATGTTCAACATTATGTCTGTTGCAAAGTTTGGTAAACACTTAAAATATGTTGTTGCTTTCTTTCAAACCCACAATTACAGTTCACTTTACCAAAGGCCAGAGCACTTGGCTCATCCTTGTGCCAGCTCAACTCAGACATACCATGCAATGCAGCTAACTCCCTAGAATGTGCCTTCCACCCCCAAATTTTCCACTTAAGCAAATTAATGATCAGGAAAGATGGGATACACCCAAAAGACAGAAAACCACTTATTCAGCAAGTCAAAAATGGATATGCTGGCACTGAAACTTATAGTTGAAAGTGAAACGCATCCTACAAAGAATCCCAGATTTCAGCTGCCTGCTAAAAACAGTAAATATTTCAGGGATGTCCCTAAGATGATTTTTACTGAGAACAAATAGTACTTTCTTGTTAAAAGCAAGGAAGAGGCTGGCTTGATAGGGAATAGACAGTTCTTTTATGCCTCCAATGCATTTATTCCCTTATGTTCAGTATTTCTCAGAAAGCATGTCACTTCCACAGAGAATTCTGCTGCTCTACATTTTAAGAACTCAAATGTTCCAGTGAAGCTCAACTGAAATTTCAGAAGTTGATAAAGAAAATGGAAAGAGAATAATATAAAGATGCATTGGGTGGTTTAGAAGGCTAGAATCCTTCACGCTAAAAGACAGTGAAAACTAGAAACCCAGGAACACACTGATCAAGCTAACTGTAATCCCACATACCTTATGGAAATAGGTGTGTTTACACTTTGTATGCTTATCTTTTCACAGGCAGAAGATGACATCTGAAATGTATGTAACTGGAGAGCTTGCCCTGTAGCCTTAACTACCCTCCCATAAACTTAACCAACAAAAATAATAATTAACATAGGTGTTTCATAATCTTTACAAAAATATTTTCTTTGTAAGAAGGTAAGTGAGGATTGTTTTACCACTCAATAGAAAAATAAGACTGTTTAACATGGGTGTGTGCCAATATATGAAAACTATTTTAAATGAATATTTTTGCAGTGGTCTGGAGGATCATGAGTCTAAATGTTTAACACGAGCTGCAAATTTGCTCTGCACTGAATCACTGAGCAACCCTGCACAGAACGAATAGATGGAGGAAAGGAAGTCAAGATGAAAATGACTTAAGCACATTAACATTTACAGTTCTGTACTATTCAAGAAGCTGGAATGTCCCAAATGAAATTTAGGACAGAGACAGAGTTAGATGCACCCTTACTAAAGCAAGGGCTGCCTCAGAAGAGAGCACAGAAGGCAGCAGCACAGACACACGGAAGGCTGTGCACAGCCATCGGCAGCACACTCACTGTGCCTAGGACTGGTACGTGCCCAGAGGGCATCTTCTGCAGTCCTCAGGGGAAATTTCTTCCAGTAGCAACCAGGCCTTCTAAAGCCCCTTTTACTTGAAAGGATTTAGACAAAACCAAGCATTTTACACCTCAATTTCCATCTTACATAAAATGCAGAGAAAACCTGCCTCACTAATAAAATAATTAAGGATTTAAAGTCTCAGTTGTAGGAAAAACTGATTTTAGATGTTTAAGGTAACGCAAAATGCATAAATAAAGTGTAACTATCTAGCTTAAGCTTGAAAGAGTTTTACTCCAGCCCACACCTGGATATTTGAAAATGCATTTAAATACAAGCTTTTAATGTATGCCATGAGGAATTAAGTAACAACACAACTTTGAAACTGAAATTAAAATTCATGCACGTAGAGGCTTTTTTCAGCCAAAACCAAAAAAAAAAAGGTGCTACAAACCTATAAAAACCAAATTGACGTTTATTCCTAATAAAGGTAAAATCTTACCCTGTATGGTACTACAGTTTGCAGAAAACTGGCACAAGACAATATTTAACCTTGGCCTACAAGCAGGTATCACTTCATTAGTACAAATTAGTAACTGAGGGTATCAGGGGTAGGTATAAACTTTACACAAATTCCCAAGGAATAAAATTATTGTGGAAGTACAACTCTACGTATGGTTAACGTGAAAATCTATCCTGAGAGAACTGGGATAGATAGATTCCTTTCCACTAAAAGGAAACAAACCAAAACAATCTGCTATCTCATTGCATGAAAAACCCTGAATGAACCATGTCTAAAGCATGATTTCTAGTTCACTAGTTACAACTCAGATCAAATCCCGATCCATACTGGCTATTCATCTGAAACACCACTACTACAGATGTTACATTATTCATCTTTTAGTAGTATTTTCCACCTTCTTCTCCAATGTCCCTTCCTGTGTGCAATACACTCCCAAAAAGGATGTGGCCACCACAGTTAAACTTACAGGAAAAGAGTGGCATTTAGATTGTGTGTTTTCTTTTCCTTTCTTTTGCTTTACCAGTTGAAAATATCCTAATAAAACTAACAGTGGAATGGGTTTCATTTCAAAGGCTGATCATTTAACATATACCCAAGTGCTCTTTATATTTTTAACCTTTGCAAAACATCCCCTTATAAACAGGCATTGTATTACAGCAGTACTGAGGATAAAACGCCAAAGTGGCATTTAGAACTTCATAAAAATGAGACTCACAAATTTGTGGCAAAGCCACAAATCAAACAACAAAGGGCTGGAAATGTATAGGGGCTTTTTTTTGTTGTTGTGAAACATTCATTGTAATAAATAAGCAAGCATAATAATTAGTACATTGGTTTGAACTGCAATGCTACTGAATTTTCTACCAAAATTTTACATGAACATTGTTTTATCTTGGGAACATTAACTATTTGAGATTTAAGGGTGGAAACATCACATCTGCTGCATATCACGTACTAACAGTGCTGAATTACAAAGGTTTTGATCTGTTTGGAGGAAAAGGTAGAGATTGAGGGCATCTCTTCTGGGAAGCGTTGCTACCACATACACAGACTTACTGAGTAAAATACACTCACTTATGTAATACATGAGGTACCCTCCACCTCGTAACAGGACATAGCATCTCAACAGTTTAGCCACAAACACATTTTAAAAGTTAGATCCAAATTAAACTGAACACAAAAACCTTTCACATCACGTCCTAAGTGAACCAACAGTTTCTCAGAAATAACACATATGAAATCCTGAAAATTCAAGAAAACTGCTTAAGGAAAATACTCTGTTTGGGTTTTTCCACAAAGCATTATCACAAAGAGTTCTTTTTAGTAGATAGACACAGTTCTTCAACAAAACTAGCAAACTTCAAAATATTCCGGAAGAGCAGTTTACAACTTAGCACCACTCCATCCTAAAGCACTCCTATATACAGCTCTTTCATGAAAAGCCACAATCTCAAAGGAAACTAAACACAAGCCAGAAACAAACCAAACCCAACTGCAATACATCTTTTGGACAACCTGCAACCCCAACTTCTCTGGAGTGAAGCAGCCAAGTGGGAACAGGAGAAGAAGAAACAGCCAGTATAGACTCTGATTAAGGCTGATAGATGGATGGACTTATCAAACAAGTTCATTCTGTAAACTTAATGTCAAGCTTAAACAAGTGGGAGTTTTCCTCCTGATTTCTGTCAGAGCAAAGTAAATCTGTTGAGCTCATTTTAAAACTCTGCCTCTTGTAAAGTAATCTTTTACTCTGCATACAAGATTTACCATGGAATCCAGTACAGAATGATACATTAAAGAAAAGATGACACTAGTTTTGCGGAAAAATCAATCACGGCCTCCAAAAAATGTAGACAATTGACTTAATATTTTCCTTTAAACACAATAATTATCTTTTTATATACCAAAGCACAAGTAAGTACCACAATTTAAGTACTTTCATTTATTTAGCAAAATGCCCTCACTTGATTTAAAAGATAATTTCATTAAGTCCAAAAGAAAATGCTGGAAAAAATCCAAAGCAGACCACACAATGGTATGTTTTCTGCTTCCATAGAGAGTGAACAGATTAATTAAAAAACAGAATGTGACCTTTCAATAAACCTGATCAGTTCAAACTTGATCAGATTTCACAAACAGGTTTCCAGTTTTGCTTTTATAAATTATAGATTATTAACTTTGAAACATGCCAGTGCAAGATTCATCATATGCATTCAGACATTCATTCCTGTCTCTGACCATATGGTACAAGGTCAGCAAAAGTTCTCAATAACCACAAGATGTGGGCAGGTCAGTTCTACCGTGCTTACCCATTACAGCAAATACTTGTTACTTGCTTAAACACTTTTAAGGGGAATTAATTTCACTCCATCACGTAACTTCCCATAACTCCAACAGGAATTTGGAGCTCGAATTACTTACCTGTGAACGTAATGCAACTGATGAACTGAATCAATAGCTATCACCATTTCAGCCAAATAAAAACGAGCCATATCTTCAGGTAGTCTGTCCTCAAACTTGCTGAGCAATGTAAGCAGGTCTCCTCCAACATAGTAATCCATAACCAGGTACTATGGTGTGGGAATGATAAGAAAACATGGGGGGGGAAACAATTTATTGAGTGAATCAGAGACTAAGAACTAACTTAAGCATAAAAATTAATTTATTGCAAAAATTGTTATGAGCATTTAAAAAAAGCTAACCAAAAGGCTTAGATGTTCTGAAAAAAGTTGCTGGTTCAGCTTCATTTTAATATTTAACCTACTTGAATATGTTTCATATTTATACCTCCCCAAATACAAGGCTCATGACAAAATAGTATCAGCTTCACCCACTGTCCCATCACCAAACATAAAATATTTAGATACGCTGGATGCTCTTATAAAGATGATACCCTTTGAAAGAATGCAAAAGAAGTATAGGATTAAAGCACAGACCTGTAAAAACAAAACCAATTGCGTTAACTTGGGGTCTCATTTAAGGGCTCTAATTTCCCCAGCTTCCCTTTCCCTTTTTCCCCTACCATCTTATTTTCCCATTAAACAAACGATTTTGGAGAGTAAATTTTTTAGACTACTCAGATTAAGGAAATGACTAAGAGACCTCCAATGGCTCCCAGTACAATTCCAGACTGTTGACACTGTGCACAACACCAGGATCTGTCAACATATAGTGGAAGGTGTCACCTTCCCTAATTGAACTGATAGGGAAAAATGCACTTGATTTCTGATTTACTAGGAAACATAAAACCTGCTTGCCATTGAACCAGGTATGGAGACCTTAAAGAGATCAGAACCTTTCTCCACCTTACTACACTATGACAGAACAAAATGCCACTTCCTTTAGAGACATGGTCAAAATGACTGGACAAAGTAAACTTAAGAGAAGTGGGAAGTTCACAATTAATATCTTTTTATCTTAGTTTGTTTTAATTTTGGAACAGCAACTGGAAGGGCAAATGGGGAAAAGGAAAAAAATAAAATCAATCTAATTATAACTAACAAACTAATTATAAGCAATCTAATTTAACACCCACTGCTATGACATTACTTTCAAATATCATTGAAGACAGATTAATTAGAATAGTTTCCTACTAAAGTATGTAGTATCTGAAAGCTTTTGCCTAGACTTCCAACCTCTGCTTCAAGGAAGGCAACATATATCCACATTTGAAGCAATGACTTAACCATAGCATATAATAAATCACATATAATAAAAATATTAAAGACACAATAACGTATATTCCAATTTGATTCTTTAAAATTTTGGTAAAGCAACTTAAAGGGACTTTTTGTAATTAGTTCTCCTCATTTGTTCAAGTCTTTCCCACCTTCAGAAAGAGAAATTAAAATATATGGAAAAAACTCTGCAAAACTGTACCAACTATAAGGAAGACATGGGGCAGGCAGAAATCTTATACCTGTTTCTTTCCCCTCATACTTTCCATAACAATAAAGGTGATGAACAAAGATTTTAACTATTTGATACAGAATAACCTGTGCATCCTCACTGATTCCAAGAGCAAGAAGAAAGTACAGAATGCATTTCCACAAAATTCTAAATGTGCTGACAATCAAAATTTCATCTGGTGCTTTGTGACATGAATAGTAAACCTCTTAAATTATGCTCACAAACCTTACACAAGATAAGTATCTTATATTCAGTGGTGCCCCTATGCTCCCTCTGAAACAAGATCTACTACTTTTCTAGCTTTCCTTGTTTTACAGTTTTAGAAAATACACTAAGCCTGTGGAACTTAATATAATTATTATTAACAGATACACTATATAGTGAGATCTGCAAAAGCTTAACTCATTGCTTTGAAAGTATATTAAAAAAAAATTTCTTAAGATTCTTATAACTTAAGGGGGATCTCTGCACTCACTCCTCAGCATTTTTAAAAGCAGTACCACTCAGTAACTGGATACACCAAAATAAAGGAATTTTGGCTCTTACAACACAGGACTCTAGCACCTCCCATTCTGCGAGAGCAACACAGTAGCCTAATCACAAAGAAACCCTCAACTCCTCAAACACGCCGACGTTTAAACTGTAACTCAGTACTAAGTTGTGCACTAGAAGTTAAACACATGCACAGGAATCAAAGCTCAACTTAACAACTAAATTTTTAATAAAACAATTCAGTCACTGTATAGCATCCCATCCAATGTCAAAGATCCACCTCCTTAAAAAATATATATTAAAAAAAAATGCACAAAATACACTCATCCAGATCTATTCAAGTCTCAAATACTTCTCAAAATACTACTGCACAACAGCACCATCCTTCCAAGAGAAGGAAAAAGCAGATTTAGGGATATTAAATTCTAGTAGCTAGCAGAAGTTTAACATGGGCATTTAATCTTAAATCACGGAATCATTTACATTGGAAGCCACCTCTTGAAATCATCTACTCCAACCTCACCTGCTCAAACAGGATGAGCTAGTGCAGGCTGACAATCACTGTGTCCAGTTGGGTTCTGAGCACTTCTAAGGATGGAGACTCCACAAACTCTCCAGGACACCTGTTCCAATGTTTGACCACCCTCACAATAAAAAAGTATTTTATTATGTTCAGACAAAATTTGATGTGGTTCAGTTTGTGTCCCAGCTCTCTCAGCTTCTCCTCATATGGAAGATGCTTCCGTACCTTAATCATCTTTCTGGCCTTGCACTGGACTTGCTCCAGTAGCTCCATCTCTCTTCTGCACTGAGGAGGCCAGAACTGGACACAATATTTCATGTGCAGCCATACAAGGGCTGAGCAGGAAGGAAGGGCCTTTACTGACGGGCTGGCAACACGTTTCCTAATGCCGCCCATTACTGCAGGATGCTCTTGGCCTTTTTTGCTGCGAGGGTGCATTGCCGGCTTCTGGTCAGCTCGTCATCCACCTGGACCTCAAGCTTGCAGCCCCCAGCACGTACTGGTGTTTGGAGCTATTCCTCCTCAGATGCAGGACACTGCGTTTCCCTTTGTTGAACTTCATGAGATGTCTCTCTGCCCAGTTCTCCACTCCGTCAAGGTCCACCTGAATGACAGCAGAGCCGTCTGGTGGCATATCAGCCACTTCTCCCAGTTTTTTATCACCTGTGAACTTGCCGAGGGTGTGCTCCATCCCACCGTCAGGGTCAGTAACAAAGATGTCAGCCCCAGTCTTGAGCCCTGGGGTACACTACCACTGACTGGCCTCCAGCTGGACTTTGTGTCACTGATCGTGACCACCTGGGCCCAGTAGTTCAGTCAGTTTTCAACCCACCTCACTGTTGCTTATTTAACGCATAAATAAGCTTGCCTATGATGATGTTATGGCAGATGGCATCAAAAGCATTACTACAGTAAAGGTAAACAACATCCATTGCTCAACCACATCTGCTGCTTAATCTACACAGATTTTTATTAAAAAAAAAAAAATACAGGCCACTTCTGCTATATTTTATTTTAGTAAAAAACACAGAGAACTAGTGATACACTCACACTAAAATAATGAAAAACAGTATTACTGATATTTTCCCCAGCAGGATGCAAAACTAGCTCCTGTTAACAGACTACCAAAGATAAAGAACAGAAGCTGCTCTGTACTTAGTGACAATAAGAAAACTGGCAAAATTAAAACAAATTCTAGCAGGTTGTTGTGGAATATATATTTTCTTTGAAATACTGTTAGTAGTAAGATCAGAATTGCATAAAATATGAGATTATTTTTACTGTCCACATTAACAAAGCATGAAGCTCTTTGGGAGCTATTTAGGTATAGCTATAGGTATAGCTATTTAGAGCTATACCTCTTTGGGAGGTATTTGTTTAAGGCAATAGTAAGATTCACAAATGCAGGGCCCTGTTTCTGTATAAACGTCACCAAAATCCACTGAACTCCAAGTATCTGAGCTAACAGAACAGAAAGCAACAGAATGTCAAAAAGCACTGCAATTCTGCAAGAATTCCATGTATAGCACTTCTTTTATTGGACACATTGGGGGAAAAAAATATGTCTGCATAATAGATTTTTAAGAAACCAATTGAACTTACTAATGATAGAATCAAAGGCATGGGACAATAAAATCCAAATAAGCAAAATCTATCAATGTGCAGTTGTTTACCTTTTCAGGCATAAATATTACGAAAACCCTATCACAATCAAAATACATTTTAAGTGGGAAAGATTTAATAGAAATTTGGCACTTTTCCCCTCATAGCTTCTTTTTGCATGTCTTTCAAAATACTGGAAAACTAAATAACATTAAACATTAAAGAGACATTTTAATCAACAGTTACAGCTTCCAGCTCTTACTTACAAACATTTAATGGCATTCTTCCATGCTGTAAGAACATTTGATTGCTTTATGACATCTGAGCGGGTTCAAGTCCTCAAAAATCAAAGACCAATCAAAATGAACTGTAGTTTCAAAACTGGGCTACTCCCTATTTCTAACTGTGAACCACTAATCAGTAATGTTAACAGCAAAAATTGAAGTCAAAGAGAAAGTTTACATTAGTAAGCACACTTTCATTTTTATTAATCCAATTAAATTGGAAAGAAGATGCAGATAGAGTAAGGTTTATCAACAACTGCAAAGTGGTTTGGAAAACAAAGCTGCATTCCTGAGATGTTTACAGCAAAAGTTTAAAAGTTTCTGACCACTCTCCACCCTTCAGAATCTTATGCACAAAATCACAGAAGCTCACATGGTCTGTACGGTCCAGAACGCAGAATTAACAAATAAACAAACTATATTTCTGTCTCAAACCACAACTAAGAATCTGAATTTATGTCCATATATACATAAAAGCAAAACTCACTAAATAGTTTTCATCCTGGAATGCATAATGTAATGTTGTGATCCACTGGTTATCTCCATTCACTAACACATCTCTCTCTTCTCGAAAACAGGCTGTCTGAAGGAGAGAAAAATAATTACAGGTTTTAAATAAAATATACAAAGAAACACATTTTGCAAGCTTGACTATATTTTAACATTATATTTGGGGAAAAAACTTTCAATACTGCCTCTCAGGTAAAAAGTAATTTACTACAGTCTTCAAACATGTAAAAATCTATGAGAAACTAGTTATCAAAAAAGTCCACCCTCTTTAATTTTAAACAGTTGTACTTCTCTATATATTGTTAAGTGATGCAAAGGGAGAAATAAGCTACTGCTTCCCATTGTCTAAAAATCCAAACTCAAAATGTTATCTTTTTTGTACATATAGATATTGAAATCAAGTATCAATAGTGATAGAATAGCAATATGGATTGAAGAAAACAGTCAATAATGGCATTATATAACTATAACTGCAACAGGAGTTAAAGAACTAGAATTTGCAGTCTTGCATCATTTTTTTTATCTCGTCATGCTGTCAGCCTAGTTTTACACTTGAATTTTCACATTAGCAAGGTGGTTCTTTTCATTTGAAAGCAGCTGCCAGTAACTTCCATGTACCCATAACTTGATAATCATTAACCAATTGGTATTTTCTCCATATTTTTTGCTCAGGAAAAGTAGGACAGAATTGAATATTGCTCTTGCCAGATACAAACTGTTGATAAGACATCCAGAAAGACTTCCCCTCAATATACTGGAAAGAAACACAGGAGGCAAAAAGTGTCTTTACACCAAGTGGAACAAAGGAGGAACAAGAACTGACAAGAAATGCTAAGGAATACCTAAGAGAAGAAAAACAACACAGGTTTGTATGAAACAAAAGAAGATGAAATGTGAAGAAAATAACCAAGGCAGTTAATTCAAAGGAGGCCTTGCAACCTGCTCTAAGAAGTGAATAAAATACCTCAGCAAAAGCGCAGAATGACAGAGAAGTGACCAAACAGACAAGAAGCCAAAAAGAAACTATGGCAAAGAAATATGATAATGTTTTGAAAGGACTGAGTTTGAAAGTGAACATCACAAGAAAACAAAAGGTACCAAATAGCAAAGCCAACACACAATTTTGTTCAGAAAAAGGTCTAAAAAATAGTGTAAAAGAATGAATATTAATTGTATGGTCTCTATTTAGAAGGCAGATGGAGAGTTAGGCAAAAACACAGACCACAATCTCTTCCAGCACACTCTGCTACTTCACAAAGATGTTTCATCAATTTGAACCACGCTCTGTCTCTTCCATCTTAGGAGACAGCTAAATTTAAAGGAAATCCAAGCATTTTCTTTTTACTTTTTCAATTTAATTTCCAAAAATAATAGGCAAATAAATATCAGAACTCTGACATGGTTATTGTTGGCTGTGAGATTTGGAGATTGAAGAATGAAAAGCAAAATATAATTTTAGATTGAGCTATGCACAAGAATACATGCAGTAAAAACACTGCAGAAAATAACTCCCTCCTCCCAACAAATAAACCTTACCAAGTCTTGTTTTGGTGAATACAGTGAGTAAGAATAATGCAGACCAAGAAAAAGAAATATGGTATACTTTAAATATAGCACAATGCATGCAACAGATCAGTGAAATTTGAGAAAAATAACAAAATACCAAGTCTTGTTTTGGTGAATACAGTGAGAATAATGCAGACCAAGAAAAAGAAACACAGTATACTTTAATCACAGCACAATGCATGAGACAGATCAGTGAAATTTGAGAAAAATAACAAAACATATTTTGAACAAATACTTTCAAAGGTTATTAAATGAAAAATGGACTTGGGGGTGGAAGAAGAGGAAAGGATAATCTTCAGAAGGAAGAAATGCTGTTCTATGCTTCCTTCCTTGTTTGTAAACTCTTGACATATTTCAGAGAGAGATACTATGAATTATTGTTTTCACAAGGATAAATAGCACATAATTTCTCTATTTGCTATGACACAATTCACAGGATTAGTTACTAGGGAGTTTATAGAACTCCACTTGTTTTTACCACGATTTAACAAAAGACCATGCATTTCTTGAGCACGCCAGACACCCACCTCCAGGCAGTATGCCTAGAGCTGACAGCAACAGCTATTAGCACAGTAGATCACAGCTGAGACAGTAACAGCCAAAGAGTCTCAGTGGTTCATGGGCTTCACATTAATTCATGAAGAAAAAAAAGATGGTAGCAGTGGTTCTTTTAACTACTGTTACATAGCTCAATTAAGGGGTTTTTGTGCCTTTCATTATTTCAACACTTCACCATCCCTAGGCATAGTCTTCTTAATTGCTGGCAGAGACCTCCGGAGGTCATCAAATCCAACTCTTTGTCACAGCAAAGCCAACTTAGTGCTTTGGCTGTAGCTATACTGTTAACCGTGGCCTTCAACCAGCAAAGAATTTGGGTCACTTGGCTATTTGGTGCTGACATCCTTACAGCTCAGAGTTAGCACCTTCCAGGAGTGCTGACTGCTTCCATGCTGCCCAATATTTGTCCTCCTGAGCCTCATCCAGCACCACCATGGCACACACGTAACTGTAAGTGATTGTCAACACTCAGGGTGACAGGTCTGGGAGCACAGTTTCAGGTACTCCTTGTATCAGTCACATCCCCAGCTCTACATCACATCTTGGAGTTTTCAACAGTGGCAAATATTTGGAAAACTTACGCTCTTCTTAACACAAAAGAGAATGCTGACCTCACAACCTGTATAATTTAATTGTAACAAAGTTTTTGCATACAAATACTTTCAGAGCTTGCACTCACAAGCCTCTTTTCAGCACATGCTCCCTTTCTGCTTTTAGAAATGACTCCCACTTCCCACAGAGTTGATACAGGGATATACATAACTTATTTCTGCCATGTAAATACACATCTATCTCTATGCCCATCTTGCATTTTTGGACTGTACAATTTTCCTGTGTATTTCAGTGTTAGTGCCACAAGAGCCAAAATGGGTCATTTTCCCTAGCAGTTTTAACAAATGAGATACGTTCATCAGCGTCTAAAAATGACAGGTTACAGTCACTGAAGGTCATGCTTTGTAATGCATTTTCACTCCAGATAGTTCTCTTTCCACTGTATACCCATGGGCTACAAATACATGGAAAAACATAGCTGTAATACTTTTTAGGCTAATGGTTCAGACTTTAAGAAATTCAGCTGGACCCATGGGAAGAGTATTTTTAATACCTTGCATAGAGAAAAATCTTCCAAACCTATTTATAACTGTATTTTAATGGAAAGAAATAGCTTTTTAACTCACTTTTAAAGGGTACATTTAAAAATAGAGTGGGACTTTATTTCTGTTCTTTTCTTTTTCACTGATGTCATTTACACTAATGACATCTGTCTTGGAGAGAAATACCTCTTTGTATTGAGACTAAGGCCAGATTGCTCAGTATCTGAATAATTTCTGAATAAGGAGGAAACACACTGTGTACATCTAACCACAATCTGCATGCCATTTATACTTCTTAATATTATAACATTTTCATTAAAAGAGACAGAATGTGCACACATCAGAAATTGGGTTTAATTTGTCTGGATACCTTTTTTTTTTTTTAAATGTGATGGTTTCCCATTGATCTAATTTCCTAAGAAGATATAATTAAAACATAAATGTGGAAATTAGAATAAACTTGGAAGGAACTGAACAGCAAGGTAGCCTGAGAGTAGAAAAGTAGGAGTCCCAAACAAAAACTGAGGGTAGAGATAATTCAATCAGACAAAGTTGGAAGAGACATCAAGATAGTGCTTGAACTATCCAAACTAAAGAAAACCCAATGGCCAAAGCAATTTTGTATGTGTAAGACACTGAATTATATTTTCACAAAACTATTTTTAGGCAGTTTTAGTAAGTATAGATGAAGAATTTCAAAGCAATTTAAAGAGTTAGACACATATTCTGTTTAAAATTAATACACAAGTCCTCAGGTATAGACTGCATTTTGTAATTGTTTTCCAAAGGAATCCAGGGAAATGTACTGAGGGTTTTATGAGGAGTGGGATTGTATAAAGAAAGTAAGAACCCAGGGCAAAGCAGGGCTGGTGAAAGAACCGTTCCATCTTTTTCAGACCACAGAACAGACTCAAGCTTTAATGAGGAACTTTTCATCACAAATTCTTCTATCCTTCTGATTTTTCAATTTACAGATTGGACCTTGATTGCAGATGGACATTTTTATGAAACATGTACTCAAATTTACTTGCAACTTCTATCTTTCTGATTTTTCAATTTACAGATTGGACCTTGACTATGTTCTAACTACTGATAAACTAATAGACTTGATGAGTTATAGCTCAGTAATTACCTTTTTATAGCCAGTAATTACTTTTCACCATGGAAAATATCTGCTAAAGACTATATTCCTAACTGGAAAAAATGCATTAAAAGATTGCTTGTATAGTTGGTCATTCTTGGACAATTACAGAAAAGGTATAATGTCTAAAACATCTAGCCCTAGTCAAGACTACTTGTCATTTTAACCCTTCTGACAAACCACTTTATGCTTATCTTAATATTAATCTTTGTATTGTCAGTAAGTAGTGAAGCACCTCCTCCATCCCTCTGTACACACGGTCTGGTGGAAAGAGAAGTAACCATTCATCAGAGTAATTATTAATGTCATCTTACTTCAGCTCTCTTCAGCATCTCCCACTTATTAAGTATCTTCATAGCAAAAACCTTATCTGCATTCTTCAGTTTTACTACTGCAACCTAAAAAAAATAAACAAAAGATAAATAAGTTGAAACACAAAAATGCATAATATTTTCATTTTTATGAAACCTTGCAGTTTTTTTCTTCAGTGTTCTGGACACTTAGCTTTACTATCCACACAATACCGTACCATCGCCATCGAGTAACAGTACAACAGCACCGGGTATTTATTCTGCAGAAGTTCCACATCTATTTTAAGCTTTCATTATGTACCACACTTTCATTAAGTATCTTTTTTTCCTAGATGACTGTAGATGAACAATAGCATTGCTCATCATCACACTTCTTGCTCTATCATACTATCATGAAGCTATCACTGGCTGCATGCTTTATGTTCCTGGACTTCAGTCCTACACGATAATTTAAAATAGAGAACCAGCAAGAAAAGACAACAAAGCAGTTGTTTCTAAAACAAAATAAAGAATATCTTTTAGCTTTTAGACACAAATTAGACTGTGGGTTTGCCATAGAACAACTTCCATTCTCATTTCAAATAATGCACTTGGCTTTCTGCAAAGATGTAGTCAAGTATTACTTCACGTTTTGCCATGTGAAGTTCAATGAGCTCTTTATCATGTCTGTTGTCAGTGGCAGGGAAACAGTGAAACCCACATTTCCTAAAGAAGTAAAACATAGGAAACACAAGCTCCCCTCTCTCTTATTTCTTCTAAAACATTAGATACCACAGGCCTATGTAATAATAAATTAACAAAGCCAACGGACACAGTCCTTTTCTGAGAATATGATAGTTTAGTTTTGTTTAGCTGTAATAATGGCCATGAAACCTCCACAGACTCAGAGCTGCTGATCAGAACTAGACCAGACCACTACACGACCATCCCAAACCTAGAAAAGTTCAACAATCAACACATTTTAACATCCATTCTCCAACTATCCCATTCTGCCTCTTCTCTTTCAAATAAATCTTAAGGCTTAAGCAGATAAAAGTTTATTTCTGTGTGCATCTGGTTAGAAACCAACATGTTGTCACACAGATTATCATCATCTTCATCCTGCAGGCCAGTGACAAAAAAATACTGAGGTTGAATCCTACATTCCTTCCACCTCTTTCATTATCAGCAAACCAGCTATGTGTGAAGACAGTGGTAACAGCAAAGAAAATACAAGATCAGACAGTTTGAAGGAAGTGTCATGCAAACCTCTTTCAACCATCTTCAAATGTGTCATCAGCTGCAGCAGCTTCACGAACGTGGTAGAACCTCAGGCTGAAGGATGGCAATACTCAGATGTCTAAACTAAAGCACATCTAGAAGTGTACCTCTTGCTCAGCTGCAGATCCATAGATGAAGTACCCATCACTTCCCATATATGCAGCAATGCATTATCAGCCCTGCTCTTGACACTGCTGCCTTAAGGTGGGGCGGGAATAAAAAAGGAGCTGAACAGAAAGGTACTGCATCTACTTGTTTAAACTAGCTTATGAACTGCAATTTTTCAAGGTTACTTCATGCATAAAAACTGAAGTTCAAGTTCAGACTTGGGATCCCTCAAGGTATTTTCAGATTTGAAACACAAAAATAGATTGTTGCTTTAGACTGTAATCTAATCTTAATTCATAAAGAATGTCTACTCTTCTGTGCATGGTACCCCAAGACTGAGCATCACTATTTTCCCTAGGAGGGAAAGATGAATCCTCTGCAGTGATACATAACCCACAATATCAATTTGAATCTTGAGTCTCCTTTTACTGTACTAGCTAAAACTAGCTTGAAACTCTGATAAGCCATATCTGTATCAATTTCTGACAAGAAATGGCAGGAGGAGACAGCCTTTAACACTGAAACTAGTCAGCACTCAAACTGTATCATATCTTGGATGACAGGGACACCCCTCTGCATGACGCAGTCTGTGGTATGAAGCTACAATATATTTCTGCCCCAAACACCTGTAAGGATTTTGTGACTGCTGTAGGCAAAAATCAAAAGGTTGGTCCTGGAGCTGACTATGCTGCTGCTGCTGCTGCCCAGCATGAATAGTCAGGTTTTCCACACCATTAACCGTTGTAACTCAGGCAGCCAGAGGCTGAAGATAATACACATATTTCAGCTACACTTCAGGATTTCACTTCTTGCCTGTAGCATGTGCAGTGAAATACTCTGTTCTTCTCCAAAAGTCTTGGTTGTTGAAAGACACAGGCTAACTGCACAGCTACCTACGTTTGTATTCTCCCATACAGCATTCACCTGAACACAATGGAAAGAGCCACAGCACTGCCTGTGGTTAACAGCTGGAGCTCAGGCCTTCAATGACAAGATCGAGGGCTTGGTACCTTCCGTGACTGTGTAGCAGTATTGAAGAGTGACTACAGACAAAAATAGACTCATGTTTGCCAGCTGTGTTTACTATCTGTCAGAACCAGTTTTTTAGTCTATGAAATCCATTAATGCTATTCCATATCAACCACCACATACACACACAAAAAAAAGATGACAATCATCATCATTTTTCTGCAATCACAGCATCTTTTTGGGGTGTCTCAGTGCCTTATGAAAGGCAATTCTAAAATTTCCAGACTGTGAAATAAAAACCTGACACTTCAGCAGTGAGCAGTTCGATGCAGTTTCTGATTGTAACAAAGACTTCTGAAACATCATTACAGACTCAGGCAGTGTTTACATACACACACAGAGATGTATACTATGTACACAAAGGCCCAAATACACAGAGAGCGCTGTTTTGATCTGCTCCCTTCCCCAGTGAAGCTGTCAAGACAGAAGAAGGGATAATCGTTCCTGTCTAGTTATCCCGAAGTGTCTTGCTAATGAAATTTTTTTAAACTGAACTTTTAAAGGTTAAGTTGGTTTTTTTTTTTAATTTATATTTTCCTGTGAGCAGCCCAAGAAAAAAATGATTGGTATGTGCTGATGTAAACATCTTGGTTTAGTCAGATAGTTTTTTTTTCCTCGCTCTTCCAACAGTTTTCTGTATTTCCCACAAACTGCAGCACAGTCTGGCATGCTGTCAGACACCTTCTGCCCTAAACTCGGCTACTTGTCTCTACAGTACATGTCTGCACATCTCCTTTGCTTAAAAAGCAACAACCTCATACAGAAAGGAGCTAAAACAGAAGGTACTAAAATTCAAATGAAGGGACAAAAAAAAAAAAAAAAAGAAATAAGAAAAAGAGAAATAAGAAAAATAATTCAAATAAAAAGACTCAGCATTGGTTTTCTTCATCAACAGAAGGCAGCCCTCCAGAAATGGGAAGAGGAGATGTTACTGTTCATAACCAAAATTTAGGAGTAAAACACCAGTTTTCAGAGCTATAAAATTCATGATCTTCAAAATATCAACAACATAATGACATTATATTTGCTTGCATAAGCAAGCACTACACTTTTTTTTTTTTAAGCAATAACAGAACAAACTGAAAGTTTCAGTATTGGCTAGAACCTTCAATAAGCCAGACTTTGATAGTGCTCAGACACACCACTACGGGCTGTCACCCAGTTGCTCCACCTTTCCTAGCAGCAACTTCTTCCTTCTTCAACTCCCAAGTTTAAAGTCTTCTTGTTTAGAGGTTTGTTAAGTTTTTCAAACCACGCTGCCCGAAGCCAGCACAATGAAACACTTGATGCCCACATTATTAATTTTACCAAGATAATCCTCCTCCTCCAAGCAAAACATCTGTGTTTTCTACAGACAGCACTCTCTTACATAAAATTTTTAATAAGTTTATGTACGCATGCAGAGGGAAGGAGTATGTCATTAACTGGACAAAAAAGAAGCATTCTCAGGCTGGCAGCAGGCAGAATAAGGGGGAAAAGAAAAATAGGAACAATGGACTCTCACATTTACAAGCAATAACTAGTTTAAACTACTTTTTGCCTACATCAAACCGGTAAAAACAAAACGGGAAATATTTCTTGACTATGCAAATTGAAGAAATTGAGTAGCATAAAATCAAAATAAGAACAAGTCTGAGACTGTGCCAAAGAAAACTTGCACTAACTTCGTAGTCTACGGAATTTCAGAATTATGTTGATTCAGGAGACAAAAATTACTCCTCCCAGTAACCTAGAGCAACCTTGGTCTCGTTTATAGTTTGCTGGAAAGAAAATACATTCTTCCAGATTTCTTAATCTGTTTCAGTGAACTACTGCAGTCTACTGAAGCATACAAGTATTTTGCAATTTAATATTAATATAGTTTTTGGTGGCTTAAGTAGCAGTAAAATTTAGAGGTCCTTTTTTCAACCTTGCTCACATATTTACTGGTTACTTTAAAGGAAAATTAGTAATTTCACACAGAATTTTTCTTAGACAAGTGTCTGTGTAGGACTTGAACCTTGTCTTCTTTAAGCTAGTAAGAAAATTTAACATACATCCTTCCAAACGCTTAGTAAGTTCTACTTTAAGAACATACAAAACCAAACATCTTCACTGAGAGAACTTAAATTTTCCCCTTACTGAAGATTTTGACAATTAAGTAGAGTCATGCTATCTTTCTCAGATAAGAAATTAGAAAGAAACACTGTTCCTAAAAGAGGAGAACTAACCAATTACACAGACTGTCCTCAGAATAGGATGGCGAAAGTTACGCTCTCACTAATCATGGGATGATTCACCACAAAGAAGCTTCCTGAGAAAGAACTGCAGTTTTTCTGTGGTTTAGCTGCTGTGGAGTTTGATGCTGATTTAGCAGACAAAAATTACTTCTCTTAAAAACACAATATAAGGCAGGTTTCACATATGATTCTGCTGGCAAGAAAGCACCCACATCACCGATTTTCCTCACATCTTATACAATCTGCACATGAACTCAGCTGCAACTACTGCAGCAGCACTGAGAAAAGCTGAAGTTTTAAGCAGAAGCATTTACATCAAAATGGAGAATGCAACATTCTTTGTGGTAGAGGTTCAGATTAAAGTCAAATTATGCATGAGTAGCTTCAGCCTTCAGTCTCCTTTATTTTAAGAAGCATTACTCCAGATGGAGCAAAAGCAACCAAAAGTTATAAAGTACCTAAATAAATACTACTCTCTTCTTGTTATTTTCACAGTTGCCCAATGATGATATTTGTATGTAGGCATCAGAGTATGTAGTGGCATACACTACACTAAAAATTCCTGTTCCTTACATACTACCTATAGAATAAGTCTATTCTTCCATAACCACACACTAGTAAAGACTAATTTTCACACGATGCAAACATGTAAGTGAACCTGAAACCACCTCCTCCCTGTCACCTGCCATAGAGCCTGCAGAGATGCCCCGATACCAGAGAACTGGAAAAAACCCCACATTTCCAGTTCCATTGTTCGCTCAGAAAAATCTTTCATACTTTGGATTTCAGTTCACACATTTTCAGGCAGTATGGAATAGCACCTGTAGAAGCTTTACATACTATTCCCATCTGTGGTATATTTAGCCATCAAAAATTCAAAGCACTGTTATACTTCAGGTTTCTCTTTCTACATACAGTGTCCTGCATGAAGAACAAAGCACATGCACCTAATATAATTAAGAAGAAAGGGCAGAAAGCTAATGTTTATTTATTCAAGTTTCCTCAACCTATATAATCTGACATACGTAGTGTAAAACCTAGTGATCAACAACCTTGTTTGACAACTTCAAATAAGAGATGGCTTAATCAGAAGCAATAAAAAATTGTATAGTTCAATAGTAGTAGGTGACAACTGAAAAAGAAACTAATGTATGCTAAACTCTTTACAAGAAATACTGAAAAAATATTCATTAGACATAGGAAACAAAGTGACAGGATTTCTCTGTGTCTTTAGAATGTCAGTATCAGTATTGGGCTACTTAAATTGCTGAAAACTACTTTCAGACTATTTAGTTACTATGATGATTAGAAATTACTAGATCTTTCTATCATCAGTAACGCACTGGCCTCCACCTGCTGACTGGAAAGATTTATAGTCAAGCAAATGATTTACCATCAGACAGGTGAAATGTGGTCTTTTAATCCAAGCAAACTTGCCTTCTCTCAAAATCTAAAAGACTTAAAAAGAGTTGCCAAAGAATGTATAAATTAAAATGTACTTGCATCAAAAATTAGGTGGGCCTACAATATCCATTATGCATAAATAATGTAAAAACCCATACAGCAGTATATTGCTATTAACTGTCTCTCCACAGTGCTGCAGATTTGCAGGAGCAGTATTCAAACTCTTCCTTCCACCTCCTTCATGTACATACCTCCCCAAAGGCTCCTCGACCAATCACCTTCAGGATTTCAAAATCTTCTTTATGTAGACGCATCTGTTTCACTTTAGATGTAAAAGGTTTGGCTGAAACAAAGGAAAAAAATCAATCATTTAAAAAAAGAACCATAAAAAACCCCCCAAAAAACCCACAAAGAACAGCAACTTAAAGAGATGTAATCAGAGTCCTGAAAACAGACTGTTTTGCTTCTATACCTATATTCCCTAATATAATATAATGCAGTTTAAAGACAGAAATAATGACCAATAAAAACTAAGTCAAAACTGCTGTGAGAAAAGGTTTATGAAATAAGCTTGCTTTTGCTTTTTTTTTTAAAAAGATAAAGGTTAAAAAAAAAAAAGATATTCAAGTTGATTATAGCTTTCTACAGTCTTTTGAATTCACAGACATCCACTGCATGTGTGCTCTATGTTGTTAGCTCTGGTTGCAAAAGCAAAGTATAATATAATGAGGAGTTCACTTTGGACAATGTTAATTTCTCTGCCAAACAGCAAAACAATATTGTATTAAATGAAAAATTAAAATGCTGATGAACGATAACTGGAAGGGCAATATTGGCCTAGATGATGTATCATGCAGTATTTTTGGAGACCACTTCAAGACAGGGGACACTTAATAATTAGTGGCTTCTGGAAGCAAGAACAGTTGTACTCAAGACATTATTAACACATTCAGTAGAAAAACCCCATGTATATAAAGTTAAGCTTCATTTCCCTCTTCTTTTGCCCCTGTTTTATAATATTGAAAGCAGTAAGCAAAACAAGGTATTGCATTCCAGCCAGGTAACTCCAGTGTTCTTTGAAATGAAACAGTATTAGGAGGTTTGTTCCCCTCTTTCAGCCCCATTTAGCACTTCAACTAACCAGTCCTGGTTGATCAATACATGCTCTCTCCATGCATGCAAAACATTCAAGTTACTGATAACTCTACCTCAGAAACCACATAACACAACCTTTGGTAAAAAAAAAAATAATAAAAAAAAAGCGCCCAAATTTTAAATAATTAAACAGGAAAAGGAGTTCTTTTAGAAATATTTGTTTTAAAATACTGTTTAATACTTTACACAAATGAAATCTATTACTAAAACAGAAGCTCCAATAGACATGGTTAATAAAAGCTGCCCATAAAAGCAGGTTGTATAAGCTAGTGTGCAGAGGACTGGAATGGGTCTCAGAAAACTTTAAGTTAAATTTTTGGCTCAAAGGTAGTCTTTCTCAATGATCCTAAACAAGCAACTTCAGATACTTCACCCACAGTTTCACATCTATAAAAATTAGAGACAGTATTTTTGCAACAGGCAAAGCACTGACCATCACACACTCAGATCAGGAAAGAAACAAAAAAGTGCATTTTAAGGTAGCCATTTTACAGGGCCCACAAAAGGCTTTTTAGCTTATGCTTTCAGGGCACAGTGGCCCATCTGTGTCCACTTCTATCTCTACAGAGCCTGATGGAATTAGTACAGCTTTGCTTAGTGAAGAGTTGCGAAAGGCATCATGCTGCAGAACAATTTGTCCAGAATAATGTTTCTAAAGAGAAATGTGGTTTGGTTTTCAAAAGCTCCAAAAGCAAATGACCCTACATAACAACCAAATTACATCTAGACATGTGTAAGAAACCCAATTCAGGTTCTCCTAGGATTTCTTATTTTGTCTTTCTAATGTCAGGAACTAATTCTGCTAAAGACACCTAAACCCTAATACTGATATAGATAACGCATCGTTCAATTTAGAATTTTGATATTAACACAAACATCTTCAGGGCACTACAAAATCCTTGTCCAAAAGCCTACTGCCTACTATTTAGCAAAGCAATTTTATGAAGTGAGACAAGACACAAGGTACCTGTATTTTTAATACCTAAAAAACCCCGCAAAATGTCTTTATCCTAATCCTTAAATTAACATTGTAAATCATATCTGAAAAACAATGCAAAAATGCAGGGTCGTATTTTTCTGGTGTTAAGCAACACACTGCACCTCCACATCTATTGTTAGTAGTACAATGGATGAAATCCTTTAAAAATCTCAGAGGTTCCAAAGTCTGAACTTAGGAACAAATTTTTCTAAAATTCCTCAGATGACAGGAGTCAGTTCTCTACCAAGAGTTACATTTGCTACAACTACAGGAACATCAGCTTATGCTTAAAAAACCCTCTGGTTTAGGTCCAAATAGTAAAGATGTTTCCACACAACACCGAGATTTTCACTTTAGTGATAATTTTAGTTTAAATTTATAATAATTTTATTCAAAATCTTTAATTATGGAATTAAAATACAGGTTTAATATTACATTTAAAATATTTTTTAAATTTAATTTAAACAGAAGTATATTACTGAAGTTCACAGAGATTCCCCAAACTTTCAATTAGTTTTTTATACCTTAAAAGAATGGTCTTGCAATAGAAATAAATGACAAGAAAATGTAATGCCTTGCTGTACTGTACCAAGTGATTTAATACAAATATTAATACTGCTGATGAATACTACTGAACAAACTAAAACAAGCCATTAAAGCCTTTTAACTTGAAAAACAACCGATTGAAAACAAACGTGTAGTTCTTGACTTCAACATTTTTGACCATTATAGGCCTGGCTAGAGTACAAGGCAAAATATCTTGTTAACAAGCAACAGCATAGCTGTTTAAACCACAAAACTCTTCCTCACTTTATATTATAAGGAAAGGCCTGTCATGCTTTAATTATTACATTTTGGAATCTTCCAGGGTTCCCATAGGGACACTGGAAAAATAAACATCATTATAACTACTTTAGTAAAATACAGCCGACAAAAATAGGTTTGGATTACGTTTAATGATTTGTAGTATCAGTGTTAGTGGAAAAGTTTGTAAACCCTTCTCTTTAATTTTTTTTATTACCTCTAGCAACAGATGTCAATGTATAGCCAAGCAGTTTTATGAAGAAAGATACAGTCCAAGAAAAGAAAAGAAAGAAAAGAGGGGGGGAAAAAAAATTGCCCTAGGAATGTGCTCCAAATAGCTTGTTCCAAAAAAGGTCAATTTGCTTTGTCATCAATGTTGTTTGTCTGCTGTGCAAACATCTGCTGTTCTTGTGGCAACAGCAATCTTAAGTACAGAAAACTTGGCCTGGCCAAGGGTCTTGGAAGGCGAATCTTCAGACAGTCGGTTCATACATCCAGCTTTACAGCCTGTGAGGTTAGCAGGCAGACTTTCTGCAACTAGTTTGGCAGCGTCGTACGAGCTGTTACAAAGACGGCAAACTGTAAGGTCAGGGAACAGTTTTCAAAATGCAATGTGCTCACAGGGGTCCCTGCAATGCAACTCTGTTAAAACACACATCCCAACCCTGTTTACATCCCCATCCCACTAAACAGCATCATCATGAAGTTAACAGAAAACACCACCCTCTTTTTCAGAGGGAGCTGCAGTTTCCTTGATCGTCGATACCAGAGTGACACGCTGCCTTTGCAGCTTTTTGAGAGCAAAAGGCAGTAGGGGCATTTCCTTTGGTACTTCGTTCAACCTACAGAACTGCACAGAGGGACAGCTGACTTTTTCCACACAGACATCCCTTCTCAAGGTTGCTAGCCATGTGCGATACAGATTAGGGACCAGCAGTTTGCTGTGCCAAATCAAATTCTTCCTCCTCCAAATCAGAGGGTAAGTGTGGGCAGTGCATCCCCCGGTTCCTCCTGG